CATGGTGGATTCAGAGGAGACCTAGGTTGACAACCAGGCTTTTCCAGTTAGTTGTTGTGTGACCCCAAGCTAGTCATGCCTCAGTGTTCACGTTTGTGAAATGGGAGAATAAAAAGACAGGAACTTTGAGGGTTCGATGAGAACAGAATTTCGGAGGATGAGGCCCAGAAATCAGGATTTTAAAAAGATTCCCAGATGATTCTAATGTGCAGCCAAGGTTGAGAACCACTGCTCTAGGAGTTTTGCTTTAAAATATTTTATACTAGGACATTACAAATGCTTGACAAACCAGAAGTTTTAATTAACTCTGTAATATTGAGTAACTAGCAAGAAGCCTCATAGGACTAAGTCAGTCCCATTCCATATGAGGGGGAAAATGGTGGCAAATTGTTCCTAAAGATAGTAGCTGATTCAGCTACCAGAGTGCTCTTGGGCCTAATATACTCGCAAATTCAAAGCACAGGCCTTGTACAGACAGCTGGGACAAGTCCAGTGGAATCCAGTGTCTCATGATGTTTTGGTGATTAGGTGGAGTTTGTTGAACAGCTCCCGAAGACCATCACGGGGAAAATCAAGCGCAATGTCTTAAGAGACCAGGAGTGGGGACGGACATAGCCGGATGGAAGGGAGCGTGAAGTACCGACAGGGCGGCTTTCTGTTTCCTGATGGTTCAGTGACAACTCTCTTAAAATGCGTAAGATTTTTCCTGAGTCTGTGTTTTGTAGTTAGTCAAAAAATAAATAAAAATCTAAATATTGGAAGAATATTGTTATGATAACTAAACCGACACAGGCAATGATTATGACTTATAGTGTTTAAAATTGCAGGGCTCAAATGATTGCTTGGAAATACACAGTGGACAATGAATTTATTTTGTGCCTGATTAAACAAAAATAAAGATTAGAATTATTCAAAGAGAAATGTTCAAGACAGAATTCTGCTTAACATTTTTATATATTACCAATTCTTTAAGAGGGATTAAAACATTAATGTTTAAGTGAGAAATAAACATGTAATTCAAAAGCCAGTAAATTTAATTAAATACTATATTACTAGTTATCATTCTGAAGCAAATTCAGTATAAAATATCTGAAACTTGGACCACTTAAAAGTAATTATTAAAAATAAATTTTTGTTTCTTTACTTTTTAAGACAATGTAGTAACTATTATTGATACACTAGAGGCCCGGTGCATGAAACTCGTGCACTGGGTAGGGTCCCTAGGCCTAGCTGGCAATCAGGGACCATCAGGTCCCCTGTCTCCCTGCCTCCACCTTCCCTCGCTCCCTCAGCAACCCACCGATGCCACCAGTCACCCACCATGTTCCATGTTGCCCCCTGGTGGTCAGCACATGTCATAGCAAGCGATCAAACTTCAGGTCTCCCAGTTGAACTCCGAGGGGACACTGCATTATTAGCCTTTTATGTATATACTAGAGGCCCGGTGCACAAAAATTTGTGCACTCGGGAGGGTCCCTCAGCCCAGCCTGTGCCCTCTTGCAGTCCGGGACCACTCGGGGAATGACCATCTGCTGGCTTAGGCCCACTCCCCGGGGGATCGGGCCTAAGCTGGCAATCAGACATCCCTCTGGCAGCCCGGGAGCCCTCGGGGGATGTCCACTTGCCAGCAGGGAGCAGGCCTAGCTGCGGTCGGACATCCTTAGCGCTGCTGAGGAGGCGGGAGAGGCTCCCACCACCACCGCTGTACTGGCAGCCATCAGCCTGGCTTGTGGCTGTGCAGAGCTCCCCCTGTGGGAGCACACTGACCACCAGGGGGCAGCTCCTACATTGAGCGTCTGCCCCCTGGTGGTCAGTGTGTCATAGTGACCAGTGATTCCCAATCGTTCTGTTGTTAGGGTCAATTTGCATATTACCCTTTTATTATCTAGGATAGAGGCCTGGTGCATGGGTGGGGGCCGGCTGGTTTTCCCTTAAGGGTGTCCCGGATCAGGGTGGGGGTCCCGCTGGAGTGCCTGGCCAGCCAGGGTGAGGGGCTGAGGGCCGTTTCACACTGGCCACACCCCCTTCAGGGAGGGGGGTCCTGCTGGGGTGCCTGGCCAGCCTGGGTGAGGGGCTGATGGCTGTTTTCAGGCTGGCCACAGCCCCTTCAGGGTGGGAGTCCCTGCTGGGGTGCCTGGCCAGCCTGGGTGAGGGGCTGAGGGCCATTTTCAGGCTGGCCACACCACCTTCAGGGTGAGGGGTCCTGCTGGGGTGCCTGGCCAGTTTGGGTGAGGGGCTGATGGCTGTTTGCAGGCTGGCCAAGGCCCCCAGTGGGGACCCTCACCCCATGAGGGTGTAGCCATCCTAGGTGAGGGGCTGATGGCTGTTTGCAGGCTGGCCACAGCTCCTTCAGGGTGGTGGTCCTCCCTGGGGTGCCTGGCCAGCCTGGGTGAGGGGCTGATGGCTGTTTGCAGGCTAGCCACGGCCCCCAGCCACCCAAGCTCCCAGTGGAGGCTGGCTGGAAGCAGGTATCTGGGATTTATTTAGCTTCTATAATTGAAACTTTGTTGCCTTTTGCAGAGGCCACAGCTGGCCAGGGTGGGGCAGGAAGCTTGGCTTCCTCCATTGCCAGGGCAACCAAGCCTCCTGCTTGCTCCAGCTCTGTGGCTGCCGGCCACCATCTTGGTTGGGTTAATTTGCATATAGTCGCTCATATTGGCTGGTGGGCGTGGCTTGGGCATAGCAAAAGTACAGTCAATTAGCATCTTTGTCTTTTATTAGTGTAGATATATACTAGAGGTCCAGTGCACGAATTCGTGCATGGGTGGGGTCCCTTGGCCTGGCCGGCAATAGGGGCCGATAGGGTTGGCCAGCCAGCAGGGGGGTGGGACCGTGGGAGGTTGGCTGTGGGAGCACACTGACCACCAGGGGGCAACTCCTGCATTGAGTGCCTGCTCCCTGGTGGTCAGTGTGCATCATAGCTACTGGCCGGTTGTCCAGTCGTAACGGTCGCTTAGGCTTTTATATATCTACACTAATAAAAGAGAAACATGGTAATTAGCGTACGACCGCTACCCCTTCCATTGGCTAATCAGCATATCCTTATGCAAATTACTGTCAGCCAAGATGGCGGCCTGCAGCCAGGCAGCTGGAAGCGAACATGAGGCTTGCTTGCTCCAGGGACTGCAGACTCCAACATTCCCCACCTGACTTGCCGGCCTCTGAGCTACAACTCTAAGAAACTATGTTGCAAACATAGAAGATAAACTAACCCCAGAAAACAAGCTTTTTTCCAGCCGGGGTCTCGAACCCAAAGTTAAGAAAAAACCTGGGTCCTTAATAGCGCGGGGCCCTCTCTCTGATGAGACCCATACATACTGTTGCCCCCCCAAAAAAAAAAAAAAAAAAAAAAAAAAAGGGGGGGGGGG